AGCATTTTTTTTATACTTATAGCGAGAGTTTTGAGCTCTCGTCCTTGTGGTACAACTTTGCATGCACGCATGCGCGTTTGATATCATATTTTATAATAAAATTTTTTCTAAGTCTTTTGGCGGGAAACGTTTGTATATGTAAAGTTCACTTGCTACCTCTTTCTTTCAGATGTCTTGAAAATGACAAGTTTTAAGAAGTCGCCAAAGAAAAATTGTCAACCTTGGAAGGAAGGCAAAAATTGATGTGGAACACCGCCACCTCCCCGCCACCACCACTAACTAGCATTTCTTTTATACTTATAGCAAGAGTTTGGTCCACCCATCCTTGTGGTACAGTTGCCTCTAATACGCATGCGTACAAGGGAAGTGTCCCAGTTGCAAGAAACCTAATGTACTGTACGTCGTGACTGTAAGTAACTGATAACTTTGTGTCGGTTTAAGCCGAAGTTCAAGCTTCGGGTTTCCCGACACAGAGGCATCAGTTACTTGTAAGTCGTGACTTTGAGTAACCGATAACTTCGTGTTGGAGAATCCGAACTTTTTTCGGGTTACCCGAAACGAAGTTATTAGCTACCTATAGTCACGACTTACAAGTAACTGATACCTCCGTTTCGGAAAACCCGAAGTTTGAACTTCGTTTTAAACCGACACGAAGTTATCAGTTACTTACAGTCACGACGTACAGTACATTAGGTTTCTTGTAACTGGGACACTCACCTAGTACGCATGCGTATTAGAGGCTACTGTACCACAAGGATGGGTGGACAAACTCTTGCTATAATTATAAAAGAAATGCAAGTTAGGGATGGTGGCGGGGAGGTGGTGGTTTTTTTTTCTTGTCTGGTACTCGTCTGTGTCTGGCATCTGCAAAAGAGTCTTGTAAGCATGGTTTTCAGTAAACTGACACAAGTTTGTAACATGATAAAGTCGATTTATTTTGTAAGATTGATATTACAGTACAAATCTTTCGCGTTCAATAGAAAACAGTGTACACGTACACGCTAAGTCCGTAACTCTTCGTCCTCTTACCTCCGCCATATTCTGAAGATGTTATGATCGTAATAAAACCTTCATTTGCGAATCCTGTGTTATTTTCCTCTAATAGCTACAACTTTCTTGAGTTACCGCGATAATCGCAATATGTGGAACTAGATTATGAACTAATGACCCGCGACAGAGTTAATTACTAAACCTTTGAGAAAAATAAAAGAATTACATACCGCCGCTGTTTTCCTTCGACAACTACAAAGTTTACGAATAATTAATAGACTTGAAGAAGATTTAAAAATTCTTTCAACATATAACTGCCACTAAGTCTAAATAAACTTAGAAATTCCTATTCGCGATTTGCTGCAAAAAGTAAGTACGAAAGATTGAAGGGTTTTAAGCGAGCCGCGCTGTACGTAAACAACAACAGTAACATGTAAATTATAACGATCACAATGACATTCGATAAAATTACCATTTGCACTGTTTTTGGAATGAACAATTTGAATGACTATGAACTTCGCGGATATTCCAGATCGTAAACATTAACTTTGGGTGAGAAAATGCGTCATCCTTTTCATTGCCGCGGCTTACAAACCAAATAAATTCATCGGCACATGCACAGGAGCAATTTTTGTCCCTGCTCGATTGGGAATAGTGAAGTAAAGAAAATTGAAATTTCCATTTTTCTTTCACAAGGAGCCATTGAAACTTGCACCGCAAGAAAAAAAAATATTCGACGCTAATTTTATCATGCGAGTGTCACCGGTACATACACTATTCGGTAGACATAAAACCTATCGGCTAGTCACTCTCAGGCGTCACCATGGTGTATGATCAATTCATCTTGAGGTTATTAACAGTCTACCCAGGCCTCAGCTGCTCTTCGTGACTGAAAAAGCGTCCTACCTGGAATAAAT